CCCGTGGGAGGGAGGTGGGGCTGCCCTCTCCCCCACCCAGGCTCCCTCTGCCCCCGCCACACCCCTAACCTGGGGTCAATGTCACTGTCAGCTCCCTGCACACTCCCTAGGGCTGCTAGTGCAGAGAACCCCCTCACCCCTGAACTGAGGCCCGAGTCCTGCGAGTCCTGCTCCCCAACCCGGGGCTGGGGCATCCAGGGCTGGGGCATCCGTGGCGGGGGTGGGGTGGGGCGTCTTTTTCTTTTCCCCAGAGGGTTCATACGCTCACCGCTCACCGAGACAGGGGAGAGGGAGAAGTGAGAAAGGGCCCTGAGGGGGGTGGCCATGCAGCAAACCCCTCTCCTCCACTCTCCGCTCTGGATTCTGGGCTGTTCTTCAAGTCATGTGGGATCCAGCCTTCTCAACAGCCATGCCACTGGCTGGCTCCTCCTTTTTATAAATAATTATTTATTTAATTTTATTAGTCTATTTTTTTTTTTAATTTGCCACAGGGCACATTGACTCACTGAGGGGCTGGAGGAGAGTGAGAAACCAAGCCACCAGGGCCAGGACTCAAACCGTGGTTGGCCAGGTGGGAGTCCAGCACCTTAGCCACCATGCAACCCCTTGAGAGACACAGAGAGAGAAAGTGAGAAAGCAGGCCACCATGTCCATGACTCAAACCGTGGTCGGCCAGCGGGGTGTCCAGCACTTTAACCACCACGCCACCTGCTGGTCCCAGCCCTTCCTAAGGCGTTCACCCTGTGGACGGACCACGTGTGTGTATCACTCACGGCCGGCCAGTGGACACCTCCTGATGAACTGCACTGCTGTGTACACGGGCGTGCAAGGTTTACACAAAAGCCTGCTTTCGCCTCTCCTGGGCATATATGTATGTGTGTACGCTGGGATTGCTGGGTCATATGGCAACTCCGTTTTCTTTTTTTAAAAAAAGATTTATTTCCATTTGTTGTTATTTATTTATTTTTTAAAAATTTGACCAGCAAGAGACAGAGAAAAAGAGAAAGGAAACCGAGAAAACAAGCGGCCAGGCCCAGGACTCGAACCACAGTTAGCCATGTGGGAATCCAGTGCCCTTAGCCACCAGGCCACCTGCTCGCCCCATTGTTTTGTTTTCTTTCATGAATGAGGCAGAAAGACAGAGGACCCGCCCCCCACAACAGGGTCTTCAGGGTAACCCACCGGACACCCCAGCCTTGGCCTGCTTTTTCTCTGGGCGACATTCGAGGCCTTCCTGTCGCATGCAGCTGGCCTGGCTGCCCGTCTGCCACCCCTACTCCGCCAAGGGCCACACTGCGGCTCGATCGCAGTGCTCACAGGCAGTTCCAGCTGGTGACGAGCCAAGGCCCAGGCCCCGCGCCCTACCCCACCCGGGCCGCCTCAGCTGCGCGGAGGCAAGGCCGGACGGGAAACCCGTCCTGCCATCCCACGGGGCGCCATCCCACGGGGCGCGAGTCGGGGACGGCACCTGCTCCCTCCTGGCTCTCCGTGAGGTCTTGCTTTGCGGATCCCGGGGCACGTGCCCTTCCCCCGTGGTCACAGAGCTGGGGCCCCCGTCTGCGGTCCGCACCTCACGCCGAGGCCCTGCGCGGGTCGTGGCGAAGCGGCGCTGTGCGCACGCGCGTGGAGGTGCTCGCCGCCCGCCCCGGTTCCCAGGTGCCGCTCCCCCTCCCCTGGGAGGCCAGCGCGGAAACCCGAGCCTCTCCCTCCTGGTGGCCCCCGGCTCCCAGGCCAGGGCCGCTGCTGTCACGGGGACTCAGAACAGGTCGCTCCTGTGCTGGGCGACCCACCTGGCCTGTTGCTCCAGGTGTGGCCGCCTGGCCCGCGTGGCACACCTGGTCAGCTCAGAGGCCCAGAGAAGGGTCAGGAAGGAGTGGCGAGACCCGGGGGCCACCTGCTAGTTTCATTTTGAGCTGGGCCCCTTCCCCTTCCTCACTCCTACTGCAGGCCGACCACTTTCTGGGAACCCTGCGTGACTTCCTCTGAACTCGGTTAACCTGGCCCTGGAGTCCTGCCCAGCGAGGCCCAGTTCCGCCCCGAGGCCCAGTTCCGCCCAGGGACCTGCAGCTTCCAGCAGGTCCGACTCCGCCCAGCCGGCGCATCTGCAGGCGTTGCCGGCCGGGGCCCACCTCCCGGAAGGGTCAGTACCGGAGCCCCAGTCTGCAGTGTCCCAGGCTGGGAACACAGGGCACCCAGGGCGCCTTGCGAGGGACGAACCCTGGCCCCACCCACCCAGCACCAGGGGCACTCAGCCCTGACAACCCTGCATCCCAACGACAGCAGGGAGGGGACGCAACAAAATACTGAGGCTCCCCGCGGTCGGAGCATGACCGGGAGGGCAAGATTCCGATGGCATTTCGGAGACTTGCCAGGAAAGCAGTGGACAGTGGCGTGGTGGCAGAACGTGCCGCTGTGTGAGGCTGACGCGTGGGGAAGTGGCAGGTTCAAGCCCAGAGCCCTGCCTGACTACACAGGGCACGCCTCTGGCCTGGAGCTCGCCGAGGACCCTGGCGGGCTGCAGCTCTTGGGCTCTCCCTCTCCCTCTCTCTCCTTTGCTGTCTTTTTCTGTTTTAGTCATGGAAGAAATAAACATTAAAAAAAAATAATAAAAGGTAAGGGCTGGCAGGTGGCATGGTGGTTAGGGCACGGGGACTCCCACCTGGCTGTCGGCAGTTCGAGTCCTTAACTCGGTGCCTTGCTTTCCCTCCCTCCCTCCCTCTCTGGTCAAATGAAAAAATAAACACATTAATTATTAATTCTTTAAAAATATATTGGAATTCTTGGATCCTATGGAAACTTCCACTTTGTTCTTTCGTGAGTGAGAAAGACAGATGCCCCCTCCAGGGTCTTGACGACCCGCCAGCCTGCGCCAGCCTGGGTCACGGGCATGCGGGGGCCCTGCCTGCCCAGGGAGGCCCCTGGAGGCAAACGGGGAACCTCCCCAGGTGGGTTGGCTTTGCAGTCTTACCAACACTCACCCCTATCAACTTTAGGGTAAGATGGCGCGATGCAAGCTCTCGGGCTAAATAAAACAGGCCATCCAGTCTGCTCCAGCGGCTTCCTAGTCAAGTGTGGCTACCGGGGATCTCCTTCTCTGCGCTGTTGGGGTGACTCCTCCCAAGGCCAGGTCAGTGGGAGAGTCCCGTGCCCTCCAGGCTTCCTGCTGGCCTCCCGTCCGCCCGGAAGGACATGCAGGTGGGCTGGGGCAGGGCGGGCTGGGCCTGGGGAGCCCTGCACAGGGTGAGGGGACTGTGGTGGCCGGGAGCCTGTGGGCCAACCAGGGGGGCTGCAGGACCCGGGAGACAGATGGGAAGGGTGACTTCGTGGCTGGCTCCCCGGATGGGCTGCCGGGCGCGCCATTGGGACTTCCAGGCAGAGACAGCGCCCGAGAGCGGGAAAGGGACTTGTGCGGCCCGCGCTCCCTGGAGACAGGTGCCTTCGTCTGTGGTGAGGACAGTGAGCTGGGGGAGCCTGCGCCTCCCGCTCTGCCCTTCCACGCCAGCACCGAGGCAGGGGAGGGCCGAGAACACCCAGCGCAGGGCTCCATCTCTCACTGGGGCGTCCTGGGGTCACGGGTGTGCTGAGTCACTCGCTGCCTTTATCTCAAACTCTAGTGGGTGGTCGTCTCTTTTAAATTTGCTGGAGGGTGTGTGCTCACAGGGGAGAGGGAGGAAGCACCCCCTGGGGGACGGCCGCCTGCAATCCCTTCTCCACTCTCCTCTCGCCATTTTGGACATGCACACACCTGCCTGGCATCTCTCAAGCCTCAGGGTCTGGGACTCGAACCCCACGGTTGGCTAAGTGGCATTTGGCCACCATAACTTTACACTACCAGCAGGCCCCACCTTGAGATTTTTAAAGACCGGCCACTAAAACCTCAGCACACCTGTAGGAAACCTTTGGCCCTGGGGAGTGGGCTGCAGTGGGCCCCTGGGTGCTGCCTTGAGCCTCCAGCCCCACCAGTCGGCACCCCGCGACAGCCCCGGCCAGGAAGGGGCAGGCGTCCCCGGGTGACGGCCGCCTCCCCAGCCTCCCTGCTGCGGAGCGGGTCAGGACGGCGGCAGGGTGAGGACAGAGATGCCCCCCTGACGGGGTCTCCAGCAGAGCCCAGCCCTGCAGGCACCTGGCTGTGGTCAGGCAGACCCGGACAGAGGAAGGGATGACGCGGCCCCGCGGGCCCACACGCCCCTGCCTCGTTTCCGCCCGTCTTCTCCAGGAACGGGGCTGGCAGCCCTTCCCCCGAGGTGCCTGCAGGCCACCCCAGCTTGTCCGTCCTTCCGGAGGGAAGGCACCCCGGCCACCTGCAGTCCCCAGGTGGCCTTCACTGTCCTTCCCGGGGGTGCAGCCCTGAAGGCTGGGCAGGCCAGGGCCTGGCGGCACCCAACCCCACGGAACCAGGGCGAGCGCTCAGCGGTTCCACCTGCTGCCGACGGCCCTCCCATTCCAGGGCCTGAGAGGATGGTGCAGTCCCTCCTGACTCCCGAGAGGTGACACAGCACCCGCCCACGTGGCACTCTCTGCAGGGCGGGTGAGGAGGCGGCCTTATCTAGGGGTCAGCGGGTTTCCAGCGCGCGGCGGCGTGCAAACCCCACGCTTCCTTCTCCTGCGGCCACCGCCAGTCACAGGGACCCTCCCAGCAGGCTCTGTGGGGAGGGCAGAGGCGAGGGCTGCCTTGGGCTGCCGTGGGCCCCCTGCTGGAGGCTAAGAGCAGGACCGGGCAGCCTGGGGAGGGCACCAGCAGCAGAGGAGCCCCGGTGCTGCAGCCACACTGCCCGCTCCCGGAGGGCTCCCCTCTGAGAAAGCCCCCCACGCGGCAGGGCCGGGGGCCCCCGAGACGGGTGAAAGAAGCAGCACTGGGCGGTCTGCGTTTCCTTTCCCTGCTTTGTTTAGAAACCTAAGTGAGCAGTTTCCGCAGGGAGGCCGCCGCCACCCCCACCCCCGGAGGACAGCACCCCACCGACCGAGGCGACCGAGGCCACAGTCGGGCCCTCACACTCGAGCGCGGTGGGTCGCAGCTGGCGTGGGCACGTCGCCGTCACACGGCCGTGCGCGTGGGCGTGCCGGGCTGGCTCAGCCGCAGGGTCTTACACAACCAGCCGGCAAAGTCCACTTCCTCCACCTCGGACCGCTTGATGAAGGCGTGGTTCTGCAAGGGAAGGCGAGGGGGCGTGAGCACCTGGGGTCTGGGGGGCCCCCAAAGAGGAGGGCGGGAGAGGAGCCACGCCCTGGGCCTGCGATCAGCACAGGGACCCGCCCTAGGGCAGGGACAGGGCCCTGCAGGTGCTGGGCAGTGGTCCTGCTGCACCTCCTCCAGGTCAGCAGTACCCCTCCCAGTCATGATGACCACACGGATGTCCCCAGATGGCAGCCGGGGTCCCCTGGGGGGACGGTGCTGACCTAAAATGCTTGTCTATTAGAATTCTCTGAGGGGGCCAGCAGGTGGCGTGGCGGTTAAGGGTGCTGGACTCCCACATGGCCAACCGTGGTTCGAGAACATCCCAGAACTGGCTGCTTACTTTCTCACTTTCCCTCTCTCGCTCTGACCCTTTCCGGTCAAATTAAAAACAAACAAACAAATAAATAAAATAAAATAATAATTTTTAAAAAGAAAGAAGAAAAAAGAGTTCTGTGGTGTTTTCAAAGCCTGCCGTACGAAGAGGCCCTGCACCCAGAGGCTCTGGAGCCTTCTGGAGCCCCCGCAGCAGAGTGTGGTGGGGCCCTGGAGCTCTCCGCGTCACTCCGCTCAACTCCGCACACGCACACACACACGCCTGGAGATCGGGTCCCACACACACAGGCCCTGCGCGGGACGCTCCTGGCTTGGAAGGGTCAGGGCAGGGGTGCAGGCGCGCCTGGAGGCCGGCGTGTGTTCGTGGGAAGCTGCTAACACGGAAGGGCTCCGGCTTCGCGGGAGGGCAGTGACAGATGAGCCCCGATGTGGGGAGTCCTAACCTGAACTCTGGGTCTGCCTCCCCTCGGAGTGACTGAAACACATGCCGGGTGCGTGTGCATGTTTGCCCTGAACCCTGACAGGAGGCAGCAACAGCACTGGGCCGTGCCCACGCCCCACTGCGGCGCTGTCACCCTCTGTCTGTGACAAGCCCTTGTCATAACAGAAAACAGAAAAAAGGAAAAAAAGAAAAAAGAAAAAAAAGAAAAACATAGAAATAGAATAAAAGGGGAACAGGAATAGAAAACTAGAGAGGGACCAGCAGGTGGCATAAGGGTTATGCTGCCGGACTGACTCCCTCGTGCTGGCAGTGGTTCAAGTCCCAGACCTGGAGGCTTGAACCGTGCTGTACATGTGCGCGTGTGCCCAAAATCCCGCGAGAACGGAGGAGACGGGGCTGCAGTGTGGCCGTCTTCCCGGGCGGTGATTTCTCACTCTCCTCTCCCCCAGTGCATGCATCCTATGGCAAAACCCAAAAACCCCAGACCCCCACAGTCCACCCCAGAGGAGAGACACTGACTTCGCTAAGCTGGACTCTGGCTTGGGGACCAAGGCCTCTTTCCCGTGTCACAGTCCATGGTGGCACCAGGCCGCCAGTGTGACCGGGAGGCCCTGGGTACGCCACCTGGGGAGCAGGGGGTGTGTGCCCTCCGGGCCATGCCTTTCTCTTGAAGACAGTCTCCGCGTAGAGACCGCCCGGCCTCCCTGCGCTGCTGGGGTCACGGAGCTGCCGCCTCGCCCGCCTGTGGGTGGAAGGCAAATGGGCCCGGGCGCCTGTGGGCCAGGCCCGCGGGTCAGAGCGGCCTGGCAGTCGGCGCCGGCTCGCTGCAATGACCTGAGCGTCACCACCTCTAGGCCACCTGCCTCCCTGCCCCACCTGGCTGGGGACACCGAGTGTTGGCAGGGGGCCGGGCTTTCCAGGGCAGTGCACATGGGAGTCTACAGCCTCAGCGAGGTGTCTCTCCAGGTGTAGACGCCCAACCCGCGCAGCGGACGGCAGCTGGGCTGGAAGCACGGGACCAGAGGACAGTGCCAGATGCCCGAGCGCCCCACTGTCTGCAGGGTGACAGGGACGAGGCCGGGGGCTGAGGACTGCGCCCCACCATCCCATAGCCAGAGGAGCCCGGAAGCAGCCCCATTCTCCTGCACCCGCGAGGAGGGACCAGACCCCGCTGCCCCAGCTGATGGGCTTGGCCGAGCTGGAGCTGCCGCCTGGCTCTGAGCTGGGCAGCCCCCGCCCTCTCCCCGCCGGCGGGGCGCCTCTGCCCAGAGCCCACCGCAGACTCACCATGAGCATCTTCAGGTCCGCCCGTTCAGCTGGGTTCTTAATGAGGCTGGGGTCCCACGGGCACGGCGGGCAGGAGGCAAGACAGGCCGGTCAGTGCATGGCCCACGCCGGGTGGGGACCCGGGCTCCCACTCTGCCCCCGGTACCGGGTAGGACACCCCCAGGGACGGTGAGGCCGAGGGTCCGAGGACGGGAAGTCCACACAGATCTCTAACCCAAACCCCGGCCTGGGCCAGCCCCACGGCCCTGCACGGCCGCCCGCTCGGGGATTCCAGCCCTGGCAGTGCAGAGACACGTGGGGTACGAGCCCGTCCAAATCCCGGCAGGATGGACAGGACACTGCAGCCACCCCGCCCCGGTGCTGTCGCCCCTGGGCAGAATCTAAAACTCGAATAAAGTAAAAAGCAGCCAGCAGGTGGTGTGGTGGTTGGGGTGCAGGCCTCCCACATGGGCCGCCATGGCGGAAGACCTGGATGTGGGGCTTGAAAATCATCCCGGGCGTGTGTGCGCGCGTGCCCCAAACCCCGAGGGGAACAGAGCAGGGACTGCGACGTGGCTGCCCCCGGGCTGATGTCTCACTTTTCCCCTTCCCCAGGAGCACACACGCCCTGTGGCAAAAGCCAACGAGTGGGGGAAAAAAGGAGAAGAAAAGGAAAAACCTGAGCTTCGAGTCCAAATGTCAAAATGGAACTTTTTCTTTCAAAACTGCAGAACTGAGTAAAGGCAGCGGCCCAGAGCAGCTCGATGGGAACGGCGGCTCTCTCTGGACACAGGGCTCCCTGCCTGGAGACCCGGGCCTGCCCGAGGGCTGTGCAAAGGCCCTGTGGCCGTGTGGGGGGCAGTGGCCCCACGCAGGCGGTGGGGGCAGGCACTGCTGGGTCCCGTGTGGCTGGAGGATGGAGGAGCCTCCGCGCCTCCCCCAGAAACCTGCCAGGAAGGCTTGCTGTGGAGCCAGGGCTCCAGGACGGGGCGGGAGGAGGGGGAGGAGCAGCCACGTGATGCCACGGAGCCTGAAATGCCGGTTCATTTGGATTCGGGATGAGCTGGGATGGCAGCTGGGAGCCCTGGCCCAGGGCGGGAAAGGGAGTGGGTCCCGCCGGGGTGCTCCAGCCTGCCACCCCGCGACCCGGGAAGGACGGGATGTGGGTCATGGCGCGTGTAGGTGGAGGACGGGTGTGGTGGGGCCGCCAGGCTGAGCTGGGCCGAGGCCTTACCATTTATTTACAAACTCCTGAAAGTCCGGCGTGAACACTCCGTTGGGCAGCTTGGGAGGAGGCTGAGGGGACGGGGGCAGGGGCAGCCATGACGTGCCAGGATCCGGGCAGACCTCTCCAGCCCCCACTGTCCCCAGGGCGAGCACCCCCCACACAGAGGCCGGTCCTGGGCTCACGGCCTGGGCTCGCCCCCCGTGCCTGCCCCGCAGAGCCTCGCTGCAGGTCCCCCGAAGAGCCTGGCGGGCTCCAAAGGCCCGTCCTCGCACACGTCCCTGGGGTGGTGGCCACGTGCAGGGTCAGGCCCTCCCAGGGCGGAGGTGTACACGGCTGGCTGGCCTAGGTGTAGACGCCAGGTGCAGCTCTCCTGCCCGGCCGGGCCATGCCCCAGCCTGGTGGTACCCCCGTTGCTGGCAGCCTCTCCCCAACTCCGAGGGACCCCTGAACACCACAAAGGCCCCAGGAGGCACCGGGAGGAGGACAGGGCTCAGGAGGGGCCACGCCTGTCCTTCCGCCTGCTTGCTCTATCTAGAGCGCCCAATGGCAGTGCTTATGAGAACAGACCGGCAGGGACCCACTGCGTGTGCCCGGCTGCAGGGGAGCACCCACCCTGGGCCCCGAGCCTCCAACCTGGAGTCGGGATTGGCCGGGGGCTCACTGAGGACTCGGCCATGGGACTCCTGGGGGCTTAGACAGAGACCCTGGATGGCAGGACAAGCCCTGTGGACTTGGGCCAGGGCTCTGGCGATAATTCTAGGTTTGTCTTCATTTAACAATAATCTCGGGCCAGGCAGGGGCAGGATGGCTAAGGATCCCCAGGGCCGGCTGTGTGGTTTGGGTCGGGACCGACGACTTCAAAAACCAGGTGCCCAAAACCCTGAGAAGAGACTGGAGGAGGGGGGACTGGCCACTTCTCCAGGGTGCTCCCCACTTCTGCCTCTCTGTGGTGAGTGCACCCACCCCACAGCAAAAATCTCTCCCTCAAACAACAAAACCAAACACATGATGGTCTGCGCCCCTGCCGCAGCAGGGCCGGCCGTGAGGGTGAGGGCCGAGCCTGGTACCGACCTCGTTGACGATGTAGTCCAGCAGCTCGAAGATGGCCATGGCCGGCCGGCTGTCCATGCCGTGACCTGCGGGTGGGGAACAAGGGGCGGGGTGAGGGGCGAGCGGGCGGCCTCTGCCTCTGTGGGGGCCGACGTGGCAGAGCGCCCTCCTCCAGGGCTGGCTGAGCCAGGGGGCAGGTATGCAGAGACGGGGACAGGGCTGCACAGTGACCTGTCGCCTGAACCTCCAGTGAATTTCTTTAAAAAACCACAGAAAAGGGGAACCAGCAGTTAGCGTAATGGCTATGTCACTGGACTCCCACGTAGTCGACCGCGGTTCGCGTCCCGGACCCGGTGGCTTAAAAAACTCACGCCGGGCACGTGTGCGTGCGTGCCCAAGATCCTGAGAGGAGAATGGAGGAGAAGGGATTGCGGCGTGACCATCCCCCCTG